TTTGTATGTACACAAGAAAAACTCAATAAAAAAGTTATTTTTTGAGTTATTTTTAATAAAACCTGTATTAAAGTAAAATTGCTACCCAAATACACAAGACAAGAAATGTGTTTCCCTCAAACTCTATTGGGCCTTAAATTCACACCCAACCTCATGTGGAACTCTTATATACAATTTATCACTAAAGATGCAGGTAAAATTGTCGGCTCTCCCTGTACTGCTCCAGTAATTACCTGACTCCTCATGCTATCCTCTAACTTTATAAGAGCTAGATCAGTCTGAAAATGGAGTACTGCTGCTATATTTGGGCAGGAGCTGACCAGTCCTCCCTTTCCAGTCTCGATAGAGTTCAAAAGTGTCTCCAAGTCCTTGTGGGTAACAAATTATTTTCCGACCTCCAATCACTCTTTCTCACAGGTGGGGATGTGGCAAGCCTCTCACTGCTCTATCTCTACTTCTATGGAAAGTGCTTGAACAAACTACATTTCTTGATTCTACCAAGTCTAACCTTCACAACTAGGACCCACCATGTCACTTACATTGTAGCAAACCATCCACATTCCTTCTGTATTCCATGGGTGATAAGTTCCACTCAAATAGCTTCTTCCTGCAAACCACTGCTTTGTGGAACTGACTCCCAAGAAGATGTTTCCTCACTCACTACAATTTTAACATGTTCAAGTTTAAGGTTAACTGTTATCTTCTCCTCCTATCCATATAAACTGTCTCTTAATGTAACCCTCTACCTAAAGTAGCTCTGGGTTTTATAAACCTCACTGTAAAAAACAATAAAAAAAATCATCCAACCCTTGCTATATTCTATCAGGCTTGGTCTCCATGGCCAAACTAATAGCACCATGTATTGGCTAAAAAGTGGTTTCCCTGATGGGTAAAAATAGATACAGATTCAGTTCTTGTTGGAGGCACAATTTTTCTTTAGTAGGGCTTCTCAATTTAGGCCAGTTATTATTAATTCTACTGTTTAAGAAAATAAAAAAATGATGAGAAGTCAGGGTTACCTCCATTTGACTGTAAATATTTATATTTAAATTTCTTGATCGGCATCACAACACAAAGAAAAAAAGAATATATAAACATATAGTAGAAATCATCTACTCTCAGATTCCTTTTTGAGCATGTGGAATATCACAGATTGACTATCAGGAATGAGGCAACATGATGATTAGAATAACTAAAATTTTAATAACAGAAAAAAAAGAAAATAAATAACCAGAAGTTGGAAAGATGATCAGAATAAAGTCCACTCGCAGCATCTACCAATGTTGAATGAATAAATATGGTGAATCAGTTTGAGGAGCATTAATATCTTCATGTAATGGTGAATGCATTGAATACTTTATTAATATATAGATGCATGCTGCAAAATTATGGGGCAGGGATGAACAAACTTATCTGTTCTTTTCTTTTCCTTAGTTCTTTTTTCTTCCGATATATCTTCCTTCCCTTATAATTTACCTCTTATAATCTTGTCTGGGAGCTCCCATCCCACTTGATTCTATTCAGGAATCCATCTGTGATTTTTTTTTTTTTTTATGGAAGGTTTGCTCTTCTCGGATTTGCCATCTCCAAAGTTGCGTTTGGCAAATGGAATCAAAATGAACTTTTTTCAGTTGTTATGGGCGGAGGAAATATGTTTTCTCTGAACTTGCCATGATTCAGACTTTTTATGGACAGGATACATCATATTTTTGTTTTCTCGTTCTACCAGATATTTTCTTGTGTAGACTGTGATGACATCTGCACAGATTCAGACCATCTCTACAGGTGACTATAGTTTTTCCCTCGCGGTCGCTCTTCTTTGCCGTCATAATTACACCTTTTGATTGTCTGCTGTCATCCAATCGGCACTACTCAAAATTTTTGAATGTGTCATGGTCCATCAGTTCACCACAGCTGCTGCTGATTGTCACAATTACAGGCTGTAATTAATGTGCTTGTCCACTACTGCTATGAGAAGGAAAGGGTGGAGGGAAGGCATATGGTAGAAAGAAAGAGTGTGATGACATAGAGGTGATGCTTTTGTAGGCACCCATCACAATATATATATATATATATATATATATATATATATATATATATATAAATGAATGTTGCTGCAGTATTCATTTGTAATTGTCTATAAATCATATTAAGAGAGATAATGCCATGTCCTTTCATGTCATTGGCATTTAGAAAACTCTGCAGATTCTGTTTTGTTGTCTGTTAATTGCCATGTATTCTTGGGAAAGATATGAATGTAGTTTTCTATTGCTTTCTCCATCACTTGGAATTCAGAGTTTTCCTTCTCTTAGACAAGTTGTCCAGTCTACTCTGCTATTTAACCTATACTGTGGAGGAGAAGACATGGTCTCAAGTCTTTCACAAAGTTATTAGTGAAAAAGTGAATACAAGAGACTAATCCAGAATTTGAAGTCAGTTCTCCTGCAATGATATCAATTACACTGTTATCAAAACATGATAAAAACAACAAATATATGGGAATTGTTCTGAATTAATCTATGACCAGTTTTAACCTATGAAAATTTCAGATTTCCTATTTTAAGTTTCTGATGAATCTTAATTCTTCAGTTAATGATTGATAAGGCTCATAGTGAGTTCTACAACAATAAAAGAAATTTGCATTGTTAAATGTTTGAGCTTAACAACTTTAACAAAATATTGCAATAACAATCAAAAATATGAATGCTGGTTATTATTTTAAGAAGTAAGGGGGTACAAATGAAATGTTTTGAAATTAACACCTTTTTCTATTTCACTGAAACAGCCATTACTTTCTCTTATTTCTTTCCTTCATTTTCTCATTGAAACCATGTAATGTCTTTTCCTCTCTTTCCACATGATCAAAATGGAATAGTTCATTATTTATGAAATATTGGCAGGGCATAAAATCTTTTAAATATTTAACAAAATTATTTAAAACTGAAATATTCTTTAAAAAAACATGTTTTAGAACTGGAAATATAAATTTTCTGGGTGACCTGAAATGTTCTGAAAATAGTTAAAATGAGAAGTTTGAATTGACCATCATCCATTAATGAAGAAGTGCTGAAGAGTCCTCAGCCCAACCAAGAAGCCCTTTTAAATCAAAAACTCAGTGTTTGCTCATTCACTCAGGTTTTGGGAAGTAGATCAGACCAGGACAAGAAATTTTCAAAACCCACTCTTAAAATCTTCCTAATTGCAATTCTGACTCCTCTTCTTTCATGCCATTGTGGAATATAGAGCCACAGACTCACTACACTAGTTATTTCTGTGGTAGTTTTTATACCAAGTCAGTTTTAATGAAGTGGAGTTGCTACTTCCATGCCTAACCAGTTTTGAATTCAGAGTTGACCTTCTCCTAGACTGGTTGCCAACCGATACTAGAAAGTATAAGCTTCTACAGAAGGATTTTGGTAATGCCATGGATGGAACATGTCAACAATGGAGAAATGTTTCAGGGAAAATTAAAAATAAAAAGAACACTTAGAATCAGAAAGAGACAGTTGAAAATTTTGGGATGTATAATGAGGAAAGAGGACATGGAGAATTTGGCACTCAAAGGACATTAAAATCAAGAGGGAAGATAGAAACAGTAAACTATCTAGTTAGCTTGTGTAAATGGATGGCAAAACAAGGACTGGGTGATAAGATAGTAAACAAAATTTACTTAGCGCTACAAAGGTTAGGAAATTGCTCATGTTCTGAAAGGGAATAGCCCATAAAAGAAATAAAATAACTTGTTTAAATCATAACTGAAGGGGAGAAGAGATATCTTTCTGAAAGATATTTGTGTGAAAGTGAATGCAATAAGGTCAGAGAAAATTTGAACTCAACATACCAGTTCTAATTTATTTGCTGATAGCTGCCAATGCTGATGTATACTACCCCAAACCCATGACCAAGTGGAGAAAGCTTGATTGAGGGCCCCAGACAGTGCATTGTGACCTTTGCTGTCTTATCAACATTTGCTTTTTTTCTACCTAGACATTACAAATTAAACTAAGCACAACTGACTATTAAAGGATTAAATATTTTGCAGAATATGCCATCATCCTGGGTATTTATTTTTTACGTCAAAATCTGTGAATTTGTTTTGCTCATGCTAAGACTCAAAAAAACACTATAAAAAATTCATTATTTTTTATCCAATATTATAGAGGTGTTAAAATTATTCAACATTTTAACAAGAAAAATTGTCCAGTTAATATTAAAAATTGCCACAACACATTGTTGATTTATTTAAGATGGAATGATCTATTTTATGACATGTGTTTAATTTGTATTTAGATACATTGTATTTATTTTCAATTTTTCTAGTTGAATTGTTCACCTATCCATTACTGTATATAATAAAGTTACAATAAAATTTGCATTTTATATGAATCCTACCTTATGAAAATTGAGATGTTGTAGAGTTGGAGGAAGCCCTGTATCATAGATTCAGGAGGATGCCCAAGACACCCTTGCATCGGCTCTGATAGCCATTATTCTATTGTAATTAATATTGTTTAATTTAATATTAATTATAAATTATTTTCTATACGAATAATCACAATTTAAATTTATTTAAAAATCATTTTTTCTCTTTTGAAATTTTTCAAAAGTAAAATGTGACATTCTAAAGATGGGAAATTAGTAAGAAATTGAATTATTTTATTCATTTATCTTTCTTCTCAGAAAGAAGCAGCAGAATTTTAGATATTGAAATTAGAAAAAATTAACAGAACTTCCTAACACTGTTAAAAAGTGCTTATTCCCACCACAAACAAATTGCAACTGATAAACCTGATTTTTTTTTCTGCAAGTATTTCTTAACTTAAATAAAGTTAATAATTTTATTTGCTGTCATTAGCAAATGAATCATTTTATTGTTTATTTAAAATTGTTTTATTTCTCTCTCCATGTGTGTATATGTGTCTCAGTCTGTTGATATGACATATCTCACAATCAGTTAATGCACTAAAACCTAATCTTAATCTATTTCAATCCAATTTCAGTGACTCTGGGAGTGTTAGAGTTTTCCTTGCTTTATGACAATGATAATAATGCTCTCAACTGCACAGTGGTACGTGCAAGGGTAAGTTATTTCTTTCACTCTTTAGTAGTTATTCAATATAGATCATTCTTGTCTTTGTTATTCAATATATAAAAACTTTATGTTATTATGTTATTGATTCAAAAATTGTCTATTTACTCATCATGCAAAGGACTTTTGCAATTTTTTCAGTTAATGTTCTTATGATGGATATTTATTGCATGTCAAATCAGCTTAGGATAAATCATGTATGTGAAAGATATATATCTTCATGCTAATAAAACAAACTAGTCTACTTCTGGTTGTATAGTGAAATGGACTTGTCTATTTCTGGTTGTGTAGTGAAATGGACTTGTCTATTTCTGGTTGCATAATGACATGGACTTGTCTATTTCCGGCCATGTGGTAAGATAGACATATCTATTTCCAGATTTGTTGTGAAAACTCTTTAACTCTGTGTTTAGCAGAGTTATGGGCCTATAGTTATCTAAATCCCACCCAACACCCTTGCCCTTCTTCAACAGCGTGATCACACCCTGGGGAACCAGTTGGGGACAGACCCAAAACATCCAGATCGGGCAACTTGCCTCTACCGACCTTCTTCAATGGTGCATAGACCTCACTCTGTGTGATCTCTCCCTCGCAGCTAGCTGCTTCAGTCAGCAAAAGCTGAGGAAAGTTAGCCAAATAGCTATGAAATTACTCCTCATGGGCACCAGGCTCCTGGGTAAAGCGGCTCTCAAAATGCCGCCAAAACACCTTGCACATGTTGTCAGTGGTTCAAAGAGTGTGCTCCTCTGGGGTTTTGACCTCACAAACATACCAACAGGAACCTCAACAGATCTCTTCCTTGCGCAATTCTGGTTGTATAATGAAATGGTCTTCAGAGAAAAAGAAAACTCAGAATAACTGACATGTAATCAAATCATCATACAATTTGTTTGACTATCTTAGACAAAAGTAAAATCTTTAAATGCTAACATATCACAAACAGACTGAATATTAACACTTTTCTGTATCAGGAGAAAATAAAATTAGTTAATAATTGAATATTAATAAATTTTCAAAAAATATTTATAAAATCATTTTATATCAGAATAGACAATTATTAATTGATATTTTAATAATGTATCATGTTTATCATCCTTGTAAAATAAATCATTTATTTTGTCTTATATCAAACTTATATTTATTGGAGAGCACAATTATAAGATATGCAGATGACAGTGTTTTGATGGCAGACACAAAAAAACTGCAGGAACAAGATTATAAAAGAAAGTGGGGATAAATCAATTTTATGAAGACAGAATCTACAGTCATGAGCAAAATGGACAGTCCAAGATACAAAATGAAGATGTCAAATTCAAGCAAGTACAGAAAATTAACTATTCAAGATGTGTTATAAGAGATGACAAAAAATGTAAGACAGAAATCTGAAGGCTCATAATCAAAGTAATATATTAATTAAATATTAAGGTTAGTGTGGTAGACACAGAAAGAAAAAAAACTGCAGGAACTTCTAAACATTGTAGTAAATGAAAGTGAAAAAGGATTAATTGCTAACTCTAAGAAATGAGAATGTACTGTTGTTAGCAAAATGTAAGCTACAAATTGGTGATGTTGAAATCAAGCAAGTAGAGGAAAATAACTATCTGGGAAAAGATGGCAGAAAATGTAACACCAAAATCTGAAGATGCATTGGAACAGCAAAAGATGCCTTCCAAAACTTAAACACCTGATCATGGGTGTGGTCATGTTTGTAGTGTTGATGATGATAATGTAAACTATCAAATATCCAATGTCTGTTGATGCAATTTAAAAGTAAAACAAAGTAAATTATGCTGAATGTTTGTTGTATCACAACAGGTTATGAAGTTCATCTTGTAAATTAATTATGTGAGTAAAGTGAATACATTTCTCAGGTGATACCCAAAACAACAAGAGCACAGCACAAATAAACATGATGATGACTATTGCTTTGTTATAAAACCAAAAATTGATTTCAACTTCACTCTTAGTCTGTATGTCACTTTTATCACAAGTTACTTGATAAATACAGAATTTAAATCTAAATCCATTTCTTTATAAGCTAACAAATCATCAAACATCTTGAAAAATTTGAACAAAGACCTCATAAGCTAACCAACTTTTCTCAATATCCTTTGTTCAAAACCTGAACAAATTTGCCATACAAATATAGTACAAATCTAACATAAAAATTCCTTTTATTGATTCAAAGTCAAAATGTGGAAAATCTTACCTCAAGCTAAAGCCAGTTGAAGTTTTCTGAGTGGCTTTCATACATCATAAATGTCAGGTAGGACATTAAAGAGATACAGCCTTTGAAGATGTCCACCAGACAAGACTGTCATCACTGGATACTTCCTGCTTACCATAGCTTTCTCTTTAATGATTTAAAGGTCTCCAGATTGGTTTTAATCACCAGACAGGTGCTAAAAGAGAAATGAAGCTATGAATGTCAGATACATTATTAGAGACTGGCCAGTTGTTGGCTTATATTCATGGCAGGAAGATTTCAAAGAGAGATTGAAACTCTTTAAAAGTTTTGATAGGTTTGTGCGTCTGGCTATCTATACAAAGTTTTACCTCAAGTAGCAAGTTTAAGAATATAAGTGTGTAGATTATCTAACTTAAGTTTAACCAGTGCTGCTTGTGCTTAAAGTGACACACAAGATCAGTAAATCCTTTGAATGATCTTAAATTATCATCTTCACATTTTACATAGCATTTTATTGTAGTGTAAAGAAAAACTTTAAAAATTTATATAAATTCTTCTTCTACATGCCTTCAGGACGTTAATGATCATGACTCTCCACAATTTCCTGTCCTTTATAGTTCTTTTTGTAATGTCCATTTGTCGGAGAGACTTTGCAAATCACAGATGCAATAATAGTAATGCCTTCAAACAATACTCGGTCAGACACTGCTAATTCCCATTTATATAGCTTTCCTTTACCTGTCACGTTATCTAATTATTCAAGATGAGGTCAACTGTGCTTGCTCTCTGGCAATCTGTATTCAAACCCAAGTGTCAGCAGCAACACTTTACTCCTATATGACAGTTCTTAATAAATTTTGTATTTTTGCATATGTCTCCTAAACCCTGTTCTGCCATTTACTGAAGCTTCCTAGGTAAGTTATGCATTGCCTTCCTCTGTCCTTCTTGCCTTCAATCTGTCCTGTGAGTATTAGATTTTTCAAGCCTTCTTTCTTCATTATGTGCCATAGAAATTTCAACTCTCTCTCACGGACTCATTTACCAAAATTTGACCCAATGACCAAATTTGGAGGAAAGGTCACCTTGGTTGGCTCAAGAACGTTTCAGTACCTTTGTATGTATATATACACCCAATTTCTTTCTACGTATATTTCTTTCAATATATACTAATATGATATCAGTCATACTTGAAGATTAATATAATCTTCAAGTATGACTGACATCATATTTAGTAATGAGTTATGAAATATCATTTTCAAATAACAATTTCATCTTTTAGTAAAAGATTCATTCCAAGAGTACTAACAGGAAAATTTCATTATCAACAAAGAAAAGCACATTAAATTGGTATGTGACATCAGTCCTCTTGTATGACAGTGACTGTACAACAGTTAAAGAGGAAACTGGAGGCAACAGAAATATGGTTCTACAGAAGGATATTGAGAATTCCATGGAGTGAGAGAGTAAGCAATGAGGATATCTTAAAGAAAATGGTCACAAAAAGAACACTTATACCCAGAATCAGAAAGCAGAAGCTTAAATTTCTCGGAAGGTGTACATAGAAAACTTAACTCACAAATGGCATATTGAGAGCAAGCGATATAGGGGAAAACAGCAGGCAACTTACCTGATTAGCTTCTGTGAAGGGATAGTGGAATGAGAAGAGGACATTAGGCTTAGCAAAGGGATAAATGGTGCTAAGGGCAATGAGGGATAGGAGGTTGTGGAGACCCACGTCCTGAAGGGACACAATGAATAGAAGAATCAGTGAAAAACATTTTAATTTCTTTAGCACTCTGCATTATTAATATGACTTTGCACTGCATTCTTTTTCAAGAGCTCTCAATTGCAGTATCCTTATTGTTAATTTCACTCAAAGTTGTTTTCTGTTGCCATAGCAGAATATGGCATCACAACTATGAAATTGAAACACACTTTTATTCAGGGATCAAGTCACCTTCAGTAGCAGGGTAAACTTTTTGAACAGCAAATGAAGTTATATACAGAGTGATAAAGGTTAACTTTGTCATAAGTTGTAAATTCTACATACACACATGTTTAAACATTTTATTAGTAACAGTTAATTTACAATTTTAAAATGATTTGAAAATTGTCAATTCAATTTTTCTTTTTAAAATAACATTAATATATATATTTTATGGTGTCAAATAATTTCTTACTGAGCAATGTCTCTAACTAGTCTAAATACAGTAGCAACAATATTTTGCTCATGTTAGTGATGAGTGTAAGAAAATGAATTTCAACAAGGCAATATTTTTTTTTCGGGTTTTATATAACTGAGTAAAAAAGAAAGAAGAGAAATTGTCTATGAAAGTTCAGTCACCCAGGGAAAGATATCACCATTCCAAAGAACAAGGTCCCAGTGGTGTTGCCACTAAAGCATATTGAGGAGAAAATAAGAAACACTGCACATAAAAAAGAATTGCGTAATAAAAATAATAATAGCTAAGTAATTGCTTTTGTACTAAATCACCAGCAATTTCAATTAATATAAAACACTAGAATTACAGTGGGGAAAATAAGTATTTCATCTCCTGCTGATTTTCTTAGTTTACCACCTTACAAAAATAGGAATGGTCTAAAATTTTCAGGGTAGGCCCAACTTGAAAGTGAGAAATAGAATATTGAAAAAAATCTAGAAAATCACATTATATTAATTTTGGAACACAAGAATACAAGTGAATATTTAACAGAAAAATGCTAGGCTCTGTTTTGAAATGTTTTACTGGAAGAGTATAAAAATACTAATAAGTATAAAAATACTAATAACTTATTAACTATAAATATCTAAAAGCTGAAACTTTGCAGATTAATTAAATGCTTTATCTTTTTATCTTCTGTAAATTATAAGTTACTTACATTCTATTTTCTGTTGGTATCCACTCCAATATTGTATCTTATTAATAATTTTCAACAAAAAAAAGTTTTTTTTTATTTTGTTTCAAACTTTCTCCTTTTTCTCTTTTTCGTTTTTTAAACATTTCACCCCAAGCAAGGTGGGAATGCCACTAGTATGCAAGGGGTTACAGGGAGTGAAAGTGAGAGAAAAGAATGAGTATAGGGAGGATTGAGGAGAGGACAAAAGATGTACAGCATTTAAAAAGATAGTTATCAAGGAAGCAAGAAAGTGGAAGGGAGTTCAACAGACATGAAGTGTGAGAAAAGAAATGTTGGAGTAGAAATGACGGTTACATTTAACTATTTCAACAGTAAAAAAGTGGGACCTAAATATCAATCTAGTAGCATGCTTAAATTCATGTAGTCAGAGTACCAGGGAAAAAAGCTCATTTGTACAAAAGACAGATGGAAGCCACATCACATTGGTGAGAAAGTGACTGAAGTCCAGATCTCAAGTCAGGATCGATTACATTGCACATCCTTCTTTGGATTTTGTCAAGAACCTCGAGATGAATAGCAGGAGCACTAGATCAGATATGGCAACAGTATTCAATGCACAGATGAATGGTTAATTTGTAAACATGCAAGATGGAGTCTGACAAGAAAATATGTTCTAATAATCATCATTTGAATCTGTCTGTTTGTTCATTTTACCAAATCTTAATTTATAGAGAAGTTTAAAGATTTTAATTCAAAAACACAATACAAAGTATAAAAATTAATAGTAAGCATTTCTTATTTTCACAGAATTTTTTTCACTGACTACTAAGCAGACATGCAAGTAAAATAGAAGTGTCAAACAGGTAGAAAAATGACTCATTCAACTAATGGAATTTTTGCTTCCTGCTTATATATATATATATATATATATATATATATATATATATAGTCAAACCTAGAGAGCCAGACACACCTACCAAGGTTTCACCTAAGTCGATCGTCAGGAAAAGCTGGCTAAAGAGGTAAAAAAACTGTATACTTATAGGCAATAAACAAAAGACCAAGACCATGTGATTTATCACCTATAAGTATACAGTTTTCTTTACCTCTTTAGCCAGCTTTTCCTGACGATCCGCTTAGGTGAAACCTTGGTAGGTTTGTCTGGCTCTCTAGGTTTGACTAGGCCTGCTCTACTTAGTTGATTACTCGTATTGGTTTTTTTTTTCTTTGGGCTTTGGACCTGTATGCTGTACAATTATTTTCAAAAGGCGTTCATGTTCCTAGCTCTTTATTTTTTAAAACCTTTTTTTCCTTCGAAATTGATTTGATCATTAGCAAATCAAGAAACCGAAGGTTTTCCAAGACAAGTGTAGTTACCTATATATATATATATATATATATATATATATATATATATATTACATGAAATAGCAAATTCCCTTTAATATTTTACTCTATATAAGTAGATGTTAAAAAGAGTTAAAATATATACATGACTTTATCAACTATAATTCTTTTTGTATTTAGTATAGATTTAACAAATATAAAACATATTAAATCTTCAGGGTCTAAAAGCAATGGATTCCAATGGTCTCTCTGATCCTTATGTGAAATTGCATCTCTTACCAGGAGCCAGCAAGGTAAGTTCAAAAAATTAATAAACTTCAATTGGTATATTTTATCTGAGATTTTGAGATGATAAGTTTTTGATATTAAATGATTTTTTTAATCCCATACATGCATCTATTTTATATTTTTAACATTTCAGCCAATTCATTCTTCATTCCTTCATCAGGTGAAATTTTGTGTAAAGTCACATTTTTGTTGGTCCTTTAGTTGAATTGCATTGTGGGATGTTATCATTTTTGTGTCTCTTTTTCTGGAGAATGAAGTTTTTTTTTTTCAACACTTTTTCATAGGATTATTTTACTATTATTTACTTCGTTTGTTGCTTATAAGATTATTTATATAAATGAAATGTATATCTGGGAACTAAAACAAAAAAAAAAACAGGTAAAATATTGAATTTTCTTTTCTTCAGTTCTACCTCTTTTAATTTTCACATTTTCCAAATGTCATTCCACCTTTTAAATTATTTTATGAAAATACTCTTAAAAAAGGTATTTATTTCAAAACTTTTATCAAAAAAGCTATTTATTTACAATAAACAAATTCTGTTTATATACATATAAACAGGATATTTTCATTAAGTATGTTTCATTGAATAATATAGACACATTATGTTTGTTTATATTTATAATAATACTTTCCAGTTCTATGATCAGTTTCTTGATGTTAAGATGAAGAAAGGTGCTATAGTTTTTTCCTGCCCAACTATATATATATATATATATATATATATATATATATATAGGAAAATAATGATTTAAGCTTGAAGACAACTATAACAAATTGTATATCAGAGAAAAATATAAACCAAAACTCATATTAACTATCTGCCATTTATTTTTTAAGAAATATACAGTCTCAGTAAATTCTGATATATTAAAGTTTTAATCATTTCACCCCAAACAAGGCAATGAATCCACCAAAATGAAAAGGAGCATGAAAGAATATGAGAAAAAGAAAGACATTATTGAGAAGAGAGAACAACAAAGAACAGGAATTAAGAAGACAGAAATTAACAATTGACATTGCATTTAAATTTTTGAAGATCAAATTTTCTTAGAAAGCAAGAGAAGAAATTTTTAGCATAGAACTTATGGTTACATCTAGCAATTTCAACTGTAAAATCTAGCACTTAAATTCATGAAAGTGGAAAGCTCGTCACAGCAATTACCATGAAAATATTTACAGAAAAGGCACAGGAAACTATATTAGAGCAGTAGGAAAGTGACTGAAGCCGATATGCCACATTAGGACCAATGACATTGCAGATCCTTCTTTGGATTTTTATCAAAGATCTGTAAACATAACAGGTGCACCAGGCCATAGGTGATAGCAATATTAAAAGCATGGAAGAATAGTAGACTTATAAATATGTAAGATAGATTCTGAAGAGAAAAATTGTCTAGCATGACTGCTGTGGAGTGATTTCACAGTGGAGGCTTGTATTTGTACTAGGTCAGTCCTAAAATAGGTTCGATGTACAAAACATTAGGAACTTGATATAATAGGTATAACGCAGCGTAATCTAGTTGTGGTCGCTGATACTTTAGTATTCAACTAACTGTCGTTCGACATCAACTGACTGACCGACCAACTTGTTACTCTTACTACTCCTACTTATTATAGGTGGGAGAGACTATTAACTATAGAATAGGTGTGTTCCCACATAACAATGACACAGTGAAACAACTGGTTGGAATTGATAAAATCTTTTTTTTAAACAGTTTTTTAGGAAATTAAACTTCCTGCTCTTTCAAGTATTGATAGGAATTTCCTTCTAAAGCTTTTTTCTAAAATAGTGTGGAAAGTCAATATCTTGATTATATCATTATTCTCCCTGTACTACCCATTTTTGTTATTGCTGTTGGAAGTGTTCAAGTGATGTGGTTTTTGTTATTTGGTAAAGATCTTCTCTCTCTTCATATATGTAGATGTATTGATATATATATATATACATAAAAAGATTTTCTAGGTATCACCAGTAATCCCTACTTTCAAGTGATGACATTTTCATTCATCTGTTTATGGCCTTAAAGTTTTGTCCTTCCATGACGAAAGCAAACTACAAGAATCTCCTCAACATGCAACTAAAAGTTGCTTAAAACTCCAAATGAAGTTCATTATATTAGTTTGATAAATATTGTGAATCGTTCTGGATACGTTTTTAATTCCCTTATTAGATCAGATTGTTTGGCTAAACTGGATTCTTTCTGGCTCTATTTCTGGTCCCCAAGCATATTGGTTACAGTCTCTTTGTAATGACTGCTAAAAATCTCCTCAGCCCAAATTTATAGACAATTGTTTAAGCATCTGTCCTTACAGGATCATCTTTCAGATAAGCAATATATTTTTCACTTCTCTATGTCAACTGCTGATGTATTAACAATTATTGCTGATAAGACTGGTGAAGCTCAAGCTGTTGCTTTGCATATCTCAAAGACATTAAACTTGTGAATCATAATGGTCTTCTTCACAAGTTGAAAGGTTATGGTATTTCTGGACAAATTTTCAAACTCATTCAGTTTTTCTTATCAAATTACAAAATGAAAATTGTCTTGAATGACCACTCTTCTAGATCTTTTTGCATTAATGCAAGTGTCCCACTGGGCGCTATCCTTGCACCTACCTAATTTTCATCAATGATCTTCCTGATGGCATCATTTCTCAAATCAGTATCTATACTGATGACGCAACTATTTACTCCTGTCTAATAATAAGTCAGATCAGTTTGATAAAGTCATATTGACAACTGATCGAAAAAAATGACCTACTTTCTGTTGTTAACTGGGGCAAGGAAGACCTCCAAAATGAAACTGCTCTCTATTAATCATCTGAAAGAACCTTTTCTGCCTTCCATCAGCATGGCTAATGCTAACATCCAGGCGAGTGACTCATTTTGTCTTTTCAGGATAATGTTTTCCACTGACATGTGATGGAAAGATTATATTGAATCAATTGCTGTCCACAAATATACATGAATTTCAAATGTAACCTAGTCTACATGGAATCACAGCACCATCTACCATAAACTTTCTTTAAACTTAATAACTCAAAAATGAAGGATTTGCAGATATATGATTATATGGACTTTTGCCCTTATTTTGGTGTGAGGAACCTGCCTCCAAAGTTTGTAAAAATATTTTTGATACACCCTTGTATATATTTGTCCTTTTTCTGTTGTTTTCTTTTTATGCATTTTCATTATCTTTCTCTATTTCACTCTTTTTCTTAACCTTTTCTTTCACACACTTCATTCTCAATTGATTTTACTTGATCCAGGGTATATTTTACAGCAGCCATGGATAACCTCTATTTTTTTTATAATTTCCTCTGTATTTTTCTAAGTTCTTTTAACATTATATTATACTTGTATTCTACTTCTTTTCATCTACAGCAGGTTTTTGCACTTCTAAATTTAAGAATAGAAAAACTAAATTGAATTAATCTGTTAAATGAATTAAAGCAAGTATTTCTTCCTAGCCTACAAAGAATTTTCTTCAGAAACAATTAGCAAGAGGATTGAAATGGCTCAACTAACACTGTTATATGGAAGAGTTGCAAAACTAGTTAAATAGCCTTTAATTAGTGTTTGTAAAGAATACGAGTTGGATTCAGCCATAGGAACAAGTATTTAATCAAACTCAATCAAAAAACATAATGAAAGTATGGTCATAAGAAAGATGTGTACCTATGCTTTAGAGATTACGCAAAAGTGTTTGATAAAATATGCCACAAAGATCTGTTGGAACTGTTCAGCAAACTTGATATATTTAGAAAGGATATTAGAATACTCAAGAACATATACTGGCAGCAAACTGCCTGCATACAGATAGAAAATGTCTTCAGCAAGTATACAAAAATAGAAAAGGATGTAAGACAAGCATGTGTCTTCTTAACAGGCTTATTCAACCTATACAGTAAAGCAATTCTGAGAGAATTAAAAGTTGTACCATGATTGATTATTGGTGGCTACAATCTTAGCTACATAAGATATGCAGATGACACAGTGCTGATAGCAGACACAGAAAGAGAACTACAAATGTTTCAACAGAAGGAAAGTGAAAAGAAAGAATTAAACATCAATTACATGAAGACAGAATGCATGGTTCTTAGCAAAAAAGAACAGCCCAACATGCAAAGTACAGATCAGAGATACTAAAACCAAACAAGTACAAAGATTTAAATATCTAGAAAGTGTTTTAATAGACAATAGAAAGTGTGGCACTGAAAGCTGAAAGCACATTAGGATAGCAGAGGATGCATTCCAAAAAGCTAAGCAGGGTATTAAGAAATAGAAAAATTTTATTAGAAACAAAGAAAAGAATACTGAGCTGTTATGTAATACCAGTCTTTCTGTATGGTAGCAAATGCTGGACAATCTCTTCACAGATGAAGAATAGACTTGAAGCTACAGAAATGTGGTTTTACAGGATGCTGAGGATACCATGGACTAAATATGTGAGCAATAATGAAGTTTTAGAGAAAATGAAAACAAAAAAGAAACATATACTTAACATCAGGAAGAAACAGTTGAAATTTCTAGGGCATATAATGAGGAAAGAAGGCTTGGAAAATCTGATACTCACAGGAAAGATTCACGGCAAGCAGGAGAGAGGAAAACAACACATAACATACTTAGTGAATTTGTGCAAATGGATGGCAGAACAGTGTTTAGAAGAAATAACAAAAAAGCAAAATATATTAAGAGGTACAAAGGATGGGAAATTGTGGAGAGATATGATCACCTACATCCTGAAGGGACACAGTACAGATCATATCTTTTAATAAAGGATTAAGAAATGCCTGAAAAATGTTTACAGGCTAGCATGATGGAATGTGCAAAACACAGTAAGAAACAAGCAAATAATACTTACACAGTGTCAGATTTTATTATGCAATTATTTCTGTAACAATAAAACTGATATTAACCAACCAATGATGGTGTAAACTTTTAAGTATTTACATTAAATATTAATGCAAAATTCTACTATACATAATGTGGGGCAGTAAT